CATCACAAACACGGCATACGTTTTCAATAATATACAATTACTACTGGTTTCTTGACAATATGATGTTTGAATAAGGAGTTTAGCCTTTACAATTTCAAAGAGTAGTGTTTTAATTCTCTCTTACTACAACCCAGCTATTTCTGTTGCCTAATATTCTTGAACGCCAATTCACCCGACAAGTCCACAAATCAGAACACAGTTGAACAGGAAAGAGATTATATTCCAATAACAACGTTAGATGGAAATAATGAGCACAGTAGAGAAAACGTTAGTGTACTATGCTATGCTATGAGAGGAAGTCCTGAATAAGAACTAAACTTGTAAAATAAGTATTACGAAGGTTTTGAATCTGAGTCATTTACATAGAACTTTACTTATGTTCTTATTGATGGGCACCCACCTAACACGGAAGATTCTCAATTTATTGGCGTATTTTGATATGATGATGAAGAGAACTGATTGTTTTAATCACAGTTGGCTCTTAAATCGATCGTTATCTCTAACCACCTCTTTACATCTCGACATAATGCAAGCGATGTAGCGTCACCTAGACTAATTAGCTACATTTCAAATTTGCCGAACGTTAACTGCAAAGTAATCCTCCTTAGAAAAAAGTCAGATAGATCGAATTGCCACCTTTTGTTTATGTTTGGCTGTTGTAACGATGTTAAGCAGTTTATTGATTTGAGCAAAAATATAAGCTCACTTATTCCATACAAGAATATAAAAGTTACTTCAGACCTTACGCCCTATCAACGTCGTGTATGAAGACGTGAAGCGGTAGAATTGAATGGGACTGTTACAGTTATTAATCAGCCAGAGATAGTTTGCATAATAGCAAATAGTTTAAAACACACGAACAATAAGCATGACACCACTCCACATACTAAAATGTGAGTCATGTGACGACACACATCGTAACAAGTCGTCTTACACGCAGACTAACGAAAACTACTAGATAACTGGCCACCCAAATCACCCACTGAACCTTAAAACCATTAAAAAGAATGGTAATAATAGGTTTCTCAATCCACACCCTTAAGTACCAACCCATGTATAACAACAGTCGCAATTCTTTCCAGTGACGCGCAGCAGATCCCTTCTACGCTAACGAAATTAGCCATAACAGAGATCACGAGTCTAAGCATTAAGACTATTTTGCAAATAACCATACAATTCACAGTAGGCCTGTACAAGATTTTTTTGGAATAAGACCCCTAGTGACACCTCTGTTGAAGCATATAGCCCAAGTTATTTCAAACCACATGCAAACCATATATTTGTTTTCTCCGTACAATTTCAATCAGAGAATACTCCCACCCTTTCCTCTTGTGTAAACTCCCCAACCAACGTCCCTAGCTCATTTGATACATCCCCCACTAAGTATAGGTATCAAAATACCGAGCTAATAAAGCACACTCAATTCTTCACTTCAAACTCATCTCACACCCGCGAGGGTTATGACGACTTTATCCGAGATACCTTCACCCATTTTAACTTAGTAGGCCACTTGCCTAATATATGTCTTATCAACGCTAAATAGATCTGCAATTAAAAGACGGATTCAGCCCTGTTTGTATCCATATATCAACCATCACTTATAAAGATATCTGAAGCATGGACAAACAGCAATATTTTCGACCGAAGTATATCTCTTGATAATTATTTCCTATATAGAAGTGACAGATTGAATGGACGAGGCGGAGGATGCCTTATTTACGCTCACTCTAGCCTAAACTCACTGCTATATAATATGCCTGAACTAAACAAACTGAAGGTTTCGCTGTGGATTGTATTAAATCAGTCGAATTACGTTACCTTACTGTTCGGCTGTGTTTATCGTAAACCTAACGCATCAATAGATGAAATAGCAGTATTATCGGAGGTATTCACACTAGCATCATCCCTCTCATTCACAGGCAAACTTATTTGTGGTGACTTTAATATGCTTGACGTTTTTTTGGCTCCCAGTCAAAGCACCGAGATGTTATGAATCATTTATTAAGTGTCTAGAGCTTAGACAATGGACTCAATATGTCAATAGCGCCACCAGACATCAAAACATACTGGACTTAGTCTTTACCAGTGGCCTCATCCCCAATACTTTGTATATTAGAAAAAAGTTCCCAGGTAGTAATCATAACATTGTCATATTCAGCCTTAAGATAAAATACACAACCGGTAGACGTAAAATATAGCGAGGTTGATTGGAATAACTTCCACAATTACCTAAGATGCACTGATTGGAGAACTTTCTTTACCTCAAACAATACCGACACATTAACCAATATATTTTACCACAACATCAAAAGTGTCATCATCAACATCGCACCTTTAGAATGCTGTAGACCTATGTTCTCAAAAGATCTCTATATACCGGTCAGTACAAGAAGACGTCTTCAAAGACATTGTACTCGATTCCACAACTTAAATGACTTCTCCTCTTTAGTAACGATGACAGAAATACTTGTCAGAGGCAATAAATACACAGAAAGTAGTCGAAAAGGAAAAACGTGCAGTTGAACTTAGTAATAACTCCTCTGCACTCACCATACTACTCCAAAATAAACTTAAACGTTCTAAATCGAGTGGTAATATATTCATTAAAGGCAAACAAGTTTACGAAGATCCCAAACTTATCACAGAATTATTTAGTGAAAATATTTGTTTCTCATTAACTAACGAAAAACCATTTATTGATTCAGAACCAATCCCAGTAACTCCCTGTGAAATTACTAATGTAGAATTCAGTGTACAAAATATCTCCAAGGCAATCAGTACATTGAAACACTCCTACACTGATGGACCAGATGGTATTCCATCTAGCATGCTAAAACGTGGCGATGATGATATGTGTGTTTTGCTTCTCAAACTATTCGCGATATCTCTCTCTTCAGCGTGTTACCCTACTGGCTGGAAAACTACACATATCATTCCCAAAATAAAAACAGGACATGAAGCAAACGTTGAAAATTACTGGCCTATAAACATAACTTCAGTGGTATCTAGAGTGATGGAAAAAGTAGATAAGGTGGCGGTAGTCCAACATCTACTTACTAATAATCTCATCTGGACTTCCTAGAATGGATTCCCTAGGTCCAGATCATGCGATACATGCCTAGTAGACTACCTGAACGATATAACTCTGAAACGAGACAACGAACTTCTTGTGTCACACTTATTCTTAGACTTTAAGAAAGCCGTTCATAAGGTCCCACACAAAAGGCTACTCGTCAAACTAAAGTCCACCGGAATAAACAACTCACTGTACTCATGGTTTGCTTCGTTCTTAACAGAACGTAAACAGATGGTAAAGTACAATGACTGTCTCTAGTCCCCTAGACAAATCACCAGTGGAGTCATCCAGGGAAGCGTATTAGGTCCACCTTTGTTTCTTATGTATATAAACGATGTATGTAACACCATAGAATTTGGGAAACCGTACTTATATGCTGATGATCTCAAAACAGTATACAGCTACAGGCCTGAGACACTAAGCAGAAGTGTATCTCGGATCCAAAACGACCTCAATAACCTATCTGGAGTGAAAAATGGCAATTACCATTTAACCTCAACAAGTGCGGTATCATGCACTTTGGAAAGCATTCCTATGAACCGCAACTTCACTTAAATAAAAGTAGAGTCCAAACACTCGAATCAGTACACGATTTAGAAATTAATTACACAGGAAGCTTGAACTTTGAAGAACATGCCTCCTCTATTATGTCTAAATCTAGACAGCTAATTGGTTTCATAATGAGTTTTTTCACAACAGAGGCTTAGCTTACTCTCTACAAAATGTGTGTACGGCCCTCCCTTGAATACTGCTGTTTTGTGTTCTCTTATATGAACATCACGGACAAGATAAGAGTCGAAGATGTTCAAAGACGTTTCACACGCCAACTGCTAGGATGTAACCTATAGACTAAGAAACAACGCATATACACTAATTACCGTAAAACACCAAAAACAGATGCGTTGTAAGTTTTTTACAGTACGTTATAGTTTATTGTGGAACAGGCTGCCAATGCCTATCCGTAACTGTGATATGCTTATCAGATTCAAAAAGCTAATAACCCTATTTCTAGACTCTAAAGAACTTCGACATTTCATTGAACTCCCGCCCACCAATGAGGCACTTCATTACGGACCGCCTAGTATCTAGACAGAACAAGAATATAACAAACCCGACTGTTTTTAATATGAATATAACCAAATCACAAAATATATGACTTATCCTTTCCTATTATTCTTTGTTTATTAATCATGGCCTTATGATCCTAACCCTCACTTTCAGTTCCCAAATCTCTCTACAGATTAAATGTATATTATTTTTCTTAAAAGTCATGCCTTTTTTTCTATTGCAAGTAGACAGATGACTCACCAATCTTATGGATGCTGACCTACTAAGGTCGGTCATACAAAGCTCAAAATTTGACCACAAAGTTTTGTGACTTTCTCAATGTTTTATTTTTCTTACCCTAAAATCTTTTTCTTTTTTTCTACAATTTTATACCCTCTCATGTCCTTTGATTTGCTATTAGTCCTTACTTCTTTAAACCATTAGTCATCTTCATAGAAGTGTGATATGCTATGTGGACATCTAACCCATAAAACAAACTTTTTAACTGTCTGATTTGCTTGTAACATGGATCTAGTAGAGACATTGCATTTCAGATATGGGCTTTGATTAAAGCAGTATTCATACTTACCACAAACGTGAGAGAGCCTAACATCACAAACGGAGGGAGAGTGGCGTTACTGACCAGCAAACATGATGGTGGGGAGATAACTTCAATCCACCCATGTCTGTGGGACAGAACATCTTGTTAAATTACAGCTCCTTATGGTTTAGTGGGATGTCACGAACTTAAGATATTAATGCTGATTAATCATGCAAAATACCTCTTTCATTCGTGTTACGAACGTTGAATTGGTTTCACTTCCTACCCAGTAATCCTATTACAAGCAAACTAGACAAATCGCTAGTAGACGAAGCCTACTCAAGACCCTATGTTATATTTTGAAAAAAACAATAATAATACAGAGAAATGAATAGGGCTCCAACAGATTCGATAGAAAAGGAAAAAATAGTAAAGAGTTCACGTGAGATTCAAATCATCCGACGAGATAGTTATGAGTTGGTAATTGTTTTGGATTAGAATATATTCAGATGGGTTACGTAATAACTAGACAGGATTTTGAGGGTTTACTTAAGTTTTGAGAATTGTGTGACAGGAAAAGATCGGTGATGAAGAGATTGTTCTGAAGTACATAAAGTAAGAATTGGTTTGAATAAGACCTCATAAGAAGACACACTGACAGAATAATAATAACAATATAGAAACCTAACATCCTGGTCGAGTCATTATCTATGATTTGATCACATTTTCAAAAAGTCATCTGCTGGTTCACATGGTGTTAAGGACCAGTCCGCAAGCAGTTAGCTACCTACACTCTAAAGGCTAGTTTTGAGTTTTCACAAAGGCTTGAAAGCTTAAATTTTCCTCATATACTCATGGTATCTTTCGACGTCACTACTCTCTTTATAATGATCTTTATGGAATAAACAACCGGAATCGTATGTCAATATCCTGTACTCTTCATTTCCCAATTAATAATTCTGAGCAGCTGCCATTCTTGAGTACCAAAAGTAAACACTCGGTTCAATAATGTACTATACGGTCAAGTTGATAGAATCTCCATGGGTAGGGCCGTGGACCCGATTCCGACTGATATATTTATGAGGAACCTGAGTAAGATAAAGCTTAAGCATGCAATTGATGGAAGTACACATTATTATAGAATAATAGAGGACATATTTCTTATCTGCAAAGAGCAGTTGCATACTGTGTCCACTCAATCTGTTTAACATAGCAGACAATCAATAAGTCTTGGTGTGAAACGAAGAGACAATGAAGTTTGACACGATTGATTGACATTTTGCAAATAAACTATATACTTCACGGTTCTCAGATTTTACTAAGTGATTCTGTGATTTTGTATTCAATTACATTCAGCAGTCCCTACTAGTGTTATCGTTTAGTACAGTTGTACTTCTATTTACACAATTTCTCAATATTTCATCATTACTAATCTTATGCTACTTACAAGTCTAAATTAATGTATGGGGAATTTTCGTAGATGGAAATGATTAATTTCCATTTAAACTAGTGAGAACACGTACCACTTTACAGGTTGAAAATAGATTCGATACATGAAGTTGGTGTTTTCTAAATTTGATTAAAACTTGTGACATTAAATATATGAATTGAATTCAATAAACATGTAAATGGAATGAACAATGACTCGTTCAATGAATGCACATAGACAACGGTTTAGTAGTTCGTCTAGAATAATTCAGCTTTTAGTTGCTTTGCTAATCTGGATAAACGTCTTGTAACGAGAATCCGCCTAGCGAAGACAGTTATTTAGTGAAGAGTTTAGTTAGAGTTCACAACCGTTTATTTATAATATAAAATGAATAAAAAGATAATATGAATGTGGAACGTTTCTCAGAAGCATTCAGTATACATTTGTGATGACTTAATCAACTCTAAGTAACATTTTATGATAATGTTTAAAGATTGTGTTACTAGTTAATCCGACCAGCTGTTACCTCGGATTCGATGCCACATTCATCATGACCACGTAGTATTCTGAAATATCCATTTTCACCCCAATCTTCATTCCACGAATTCGCTATCAACCAATAAGGAGTGTTTTTTTCCACACCCCATCCAATTATACGTATGGCATGTCCACCAACTGGTTCCCCAGTAATATGTGTATAGATCCCAGATTTGTAATTTAGAAAATCTTCATAAACGATGAAGCTTGCTTCTACTGGTCCATACTTCATGATTTCCTTTTGAATAGACAATTCATTATCAGCAACATTGTAGGATAATTTACCTGAGAGATGAATAAATTAATAATGAAAATAAGACTGTTATCACTCAATAGAGAACTTGAAGTACCCGTTCGCATGCTAAGCGAGCGAGAGCCAAAGCGATTTCGACACGTACTGGAAGATGGCTGGGAAGCCAACTCCGTTTTAGTCAAGTGTTATTCCATATTTATAGTCAGACAAGATAAGCTACAGACATATGATGAATCATGGGATATGAAGTGTACACACATATACGCTCAAGTGAAAACAGTCAAGGATAATAAGCGAATAATTGACAAGGTCAAGTAAAATGAATAAAATAGGATGTCCGGAAGTTAGAATAAGGTATATGGGCTTGCCATAATAACTGACACAACAAACTTCCAAAAGTAATCTCAAAAAGGTTGATTTCGCATGTAGAAGCATCATTTCTAAGCAACTCTGACAATATATTGTAATCAATCTATGTGAGTGACAAGTCAACGTTTTCATGATAAATTTTCATCATTTTCCAAAACACATTACCTACCTCGATGCTTGTCTTGGGCGTACGGGATTTTGTAACCTTTCTGACATGTCTGTTTACAACGAGGAGTCTTGTAGATTTTTTCACCACATGCAGGATACTTCCCTTTGGCATGATGCTCACATTTTGGGAATGGATATGGTTGACAGCCTGTGTGATTCTCTTTCGAACTTCCAGTAACAATACCTTCCTCTACCCAATAATCCCAAGCAGGACCAGGGAATCCACCATCACAACCAAATCCGCAATCGCTGCAACAGCTCACTAGATCCACAGCACTTAGTTCCACAGATTGTCTGCCACGTGACTGTATGCAGGTTCGATCACTCATGGCTTCGACAGCACCGAAAGCCTGGAAAAAAGCAATGACAACATCAAAACGTTTTGATTTTCCTAGTGTATTTACGTAGAATGAGTGGTCAATATTTGGAAGCCTCTTCATTTCATCATGACCTGTTTCGTTAATTACTTTAGACACCTGACATATGTTCACAGATGTGATCTAACATTGGCGTATGTGCTGTCATACAGCTTTCAAAAAAACAATTTCTCTAGATAATATGACTCTGATACTGTCTGACGTTCGGTGAGATCTCCTACAAACTCACTGATGTGTAGAAATATTCATAGTCATACTAACATTGTACACATTTTTCAAATAATACGATCATTATAACTCACCCAACATGATCCACATCGTGATTGATCACGGATGGTCGCTATACTTTTACAACGAGGCCATTTCTTCCTTGAATCGAAACTTGATGGAATTTCTACATTCCAATCATTATGGTCAACTGTGGGACGTCTCTTCTTTCTTAATTCTGGTTCCTCTCTTCTTGCACCCATCAGAATGCGTGCGTCATCCAGTGAGTGGAAACGATTGCTTTTCTCAGCTTTCCATTCAGCATTTGGCTGAAGGATGAAAAAGTTGAAATCATAATTGAATGAGAAACAATTCTGACAATGTTGAACTAAAAATGGAATTCAAATATGAAGATTTAGATTTGTTCCTTTTTCAACTGTCAGTTGTTGTATTGAACTTAGATATATGAAATGAAATCAGTTTTAGGCCGATGGCGTACGAAACAATGTAACCTGTCATTTTAAATAACTTATAGATGAATTCTAGTTGCAAAGAGGAGGAAACATCTGATTGATTGCACATTCTCCTCAATCAAATCTCGTTTCGTACACAAGCTACTTACATCATAAAGTAGTAGATCTGTTCTAATCCAATCGATCAAACACAGTTAGAACGTTAATCACTTTACAATGCACGCCATTTACAACATTACTACAAAAAAGAACCTACATGTTGATTGATATACGAGATGATGTCATCTGACAATGGTTCAAATCTTTCTTTCTTTATTGAAATATGAGCATCGAGAAGGGTTATCAATGAAGCGATACACAACACAGACGTAAGCATAACTAAAGAACTCTTGTGAGTATATTTCTTCGAACACAGCAATCATCATATAATCATTGTTTTATATATACTAAACTGAAATACTGGACTTTGTGTTACAATGGTATGATAATATCGCATTTATTATTTCACCCACTTTGATTTCGCCTACAACCAAATGTAACACTTCAATAGAATTATGACTCAACAAAATTTCAAACCAAGATTTTGTAAAATCATCACAGATCACTTCAGAATGTTGATCAAATTTCTGATATAAAATAAGATTTTAAATAAAATAGTAATGTCAAAGAAAATCTTGATTTCAAAGGTTAATCTGGTATTCACTGCCATTACAGGTACTTGAAAAATAAGATAATCACAAAAGTGTTTACTTATAATTTGTGCTTAGTGATAAGATTTGTTTATGATAAAACCCTGATTCCAAGTCAATGGTACATATGAGATTCAGTGTTAGTCAATCATTCGTGACTGACTACTATGGGACTGAATCTCCTGACGTTGCATCACTGTCTTGTAGATCGTTATCATGTATTCATTCTGATCACAAATATCACATGTTTCATTGAAATCAATCGAAGTTGAATTTTCCGAAAATGTAGATGGTTCCGTCTCGCTAGTGCTTAAAACTAATCTTTCACAAATGAACGAACAAACTGTGCAGATGTAATGTTATATCCATTCATTCAATCATAACTTTACACCAGAAGAAACAATTGAATGTAGAATGTAATGACTCCATAAATACTAAGTAATTGGGACTTAATCATTATGTGCAAGTTTATGCGTATGAATAATGACGAACAATAAAATAGTATTTTTAACAATAAACCACAACATGCTGGTGATTAGCTGTACTTGAAACTGAACAACGGTTATACACATCACTTTGTACTAGTTTTGTAGATGTTCATCAACACACAAAACAACACAACTACAAGGAAATATTTGCTTTCAGACTGAAATCAGGTAAACCAGCTCACTAATTGATAAGTTATCACGTTTTTCTAACAGACAATTTAACTAAGAGGCAACAGGTTTCGACACTATTTTCCGACGTCTTTATTTATATATGCTGGTTGAATGTTTCTCGATTATTTTGGTTTGATTGTTTTCGTTCAATAAGTGTATCCACTTTATTTCTTTGGTTTTATATATATTTTTACTCTATGCTGACTGTTTGTTGAATAGCTAATATTTCGGAAGGTCACTTAATAATCGTTTGAAGTTCGTCCGTAAATTAGAGTCTCGCCACTTAATTCTCTATCAATGGAAGGAACTAAGTCACTGATCCGTTTTTGTATTTTGGTAGAACTGCGTTCTCTGAGATTGATGTTTGGTTGTGATTATTCTCGTTCATATAGCATGAGTACTGGGTCTCTAAATACTCTTTTGAAACAGACATTCTTACTCTTAACCTCATTGTCCTATTCGCTTTGAACAATGAGTTATGCACACAAACTGAGGGGATTAGAATGCGATCTCTGTATCACCGTGTCCCAACACTTTGTTTTATAACCAAACGTGAAAACGTTTTAACTATTTGACTCATCAGATTTTGTATTTTCGACTAATATTGTTGGGGTATCACATTTGTAATTTGTGACGTGAATTTCGACCTGATTGATATTATTTATCTAGTCTGTGCATACCATCCAGCCTGAGACTTCATGAGACAAGCGTAAGTAGATCATCCATATCCTCCCTCATTGACTTTCTGAACAAGGAATAATATTGATCATGCAAGGTAGTTTATGTATAGACGACAGTGATGGGACGGTCAGCACCGTCAACTTCAACGAAAAGCAGACATCTTAATACACATTTGCTTTTACATGAAGTGGGAAAATGACTATGCATTATTCACGTGAATGTTTAATTTCATTTGATCATTGGAATAAGCCACATGTTTATTTCAAAGACGTTTGTAGAATCCTCATCTTAAACTCTTAGAAATATCAGCACATGTAGACATTCAGGCTATGAATGATGAATGGTAAGTATAGAGATATAAGTATTTTCTTTGCGTTCAGCATTGAGTTAGCTTGTAGTGAATAAGTCCGAACTAATTCGTTTCGGAAATTCGGTGTTTAACAAGGATCTTTAATCGAAATTGATTCTCATATTATCTTGACCACGATAATATAATTACCTTGAACTATTGATTCTCTGCCTTGTTCAGAAAATTATAGAGCGGAGATACAGGTGACCAACCTGTGCTTGTCTCATAAAGTCTTAGGCTGGATGGTGTGTGCTGAATAGATAAAGAATGTCAATTACGTTCAAATTCACATCATAGATTATATGTGTCACTCAAAAAAGTTTAGTTGAAATTGCAGAATCTGGTGGATGAGTTAGTTCAAGGAAACTGGTACGACACGGTGAGCAGAGATGATATTCTAATGTGTTCACCTTTTCTACATAACTCACCGTTGTTAGCCAGTAGGACACTGAGGTTGAAAGTAAGAATTTATATTCGCAACGAGTATTTGGATGGCCAGTATTCATGCTGTATGAATCAAAACAGCAAAAAAATAAAAAAGAGTCTGATAGGGATCTTTGAAAAGAACGGTCACACATGAACTTCGTTCAAAATGTCAACACAACTGACCAGCATAAGCAAAGTCAACTAGAGAAAGCAGTGAACCGATGAAGTTAACATATGTAGAAGACGTAACATAGATTATAATAAGAATACTGAAGCCACTTGATACAGATAAAGCACATAAAGAATGGTGTCTGGTTTCAATAAGTCCACGCAGTCAGGATAACACACGTACAATGTTCTGACATGCAAAATAATTATCATGTCAGCCATAAGACGTCATCTCCATGTTTGTTGTGTGGAGGTTGACATTTTATTAGGTTCCGAATGTTTAAAGGTCATCGCTTCACTATATGTCATAAAAGATTCAAGTTTCGAAAAGCCAAAGAAAAGATAGCACACAACAGAACTGGCTTGCTTCAATCTAGTAATCACATTTTGGCGAATGACGAATCTGAATTTCCAGACAAACACTGAGTCTATGTGATTAGGTGGGATACAGTGTTTTATGTTTGCATGCGAGAAAATACACTCCATTTGCGGTCTCTGTACCGAGGCTTGAGATAGCGACAGCAGTGTTAAGTGTAAGGCTAGGTAAATTCTTGTGAAGGGGTCTAGCCAATTTTCATTAGTCATTGGGAAGAAGATGTGGATGTGTACTCACTTGTTTGCAAACACGAGCAGTACGTATTGGAATGACGTAGAGCTTGAACTCTGGTTCAGTCACGAGGCTGATGCCCATTTTGACAGTCGGAGTAATCATCTATTTAAGTACATCAAATGCGTGTACAATATGGAAGGCCGGAAGAGTCTTGCAAATCGCTGCAGAAATATGGAGATACCATATGGAGGTGCTTGGGATCGGTGGAACACATTGAACGCAAGTTGGATAACAACGACCAGCTTCGTTGGATCTTCTGTTATACTCTGGCCCTACCTACACAAGGAGTTGAATTGATGCTATTCAAACAGGCAGAAAATGTACTTATAGTATGGGAATCTCATGGAACAAGGTTCATCAAAGCCTCCTCCAAAACAAAGAAAGAAGGCATTTCAATGAACGTCATCCAATGCTATGCGCCTACGATCCCTGTTGATACACTGGATAAGATTCAAGAAAGAAGGAACAAGAAGGCAGCAATCAATACCAGCCGAACAAGAGCAGAGAAAGCCAAGAAACAGGCTGAATACACAGAAGTAAACAAACAAGTGAAGCGGAGCATCAGAACCGACAAACGTAAGTATGTGGAAGATCTAGCAATGACGGCGGAAAAGGCTGCAAAAGGAGAAAACATGAGACAGTTGTATGGCACAGCAAAGAATCTCGCTGGAAATTATCGTAAACCAGAACGATCAGGGAAAACCAAGGAAAGCAAAGTTATCACCAACATTTGAGAACAGCGAAACAAGTGTGAAGAACACTTTGAGTAACTCTAAAATCACTAAACATCAGAGAAACACTCACGGACCCCCCAATCTATATTGGTCCATCAACAATTGCAGAGATCAGCATGGCCATCAGACAAATCAAGAGCGCAGAGCAGCAGGACCAGACAACATTCCATCAGAGGCACTGGAAACAGACGAGACAGTAGCCGCAAGGATACCCTACATTCTCTTCAGTAAGATTTGGGATGAAGAACAAGTTCCAACAGACTGGGAAGAAGGACTTCTGATCAAGATGCTAAAGAAAGATGATCTCAGCAAGTGTGGAAACTATAGGGGCATCACTCTTTCCTCAATAGCAGCATCTTCAGCAGCAGTAGGTCTCAACATGCACAAAACAAAAAGCAAGATTCTCCGACACAACACAGCATGCAACAACTGGATTACACTTGATGGAGAAAGATGTAAGGACCTTTGCTTATCTGGACAGAATCATTGACGAACACGGTGGATCTGATACAGATTTGAAAGCGCGGATTGGCGAAGCAAGAACAGCATATCTACAGTTGAAGAACATCTGTTACTCAAAACAACTGTCCATCGACCGAAAACAAAGTCAGACCTTTCAATACAAATGTCAAAACAGTTCTACTTTATGGTGCAGACACCTGGTGAACTGCAAAAGCCATCATCCAGAACATACAAGCGCCTACTAACAGCTGTCTATGCAAACTACTTGGGATCCGCTGGCCAGACACTATCAGCAACAACCTACCATGGGCAATAGCACTTCTTTAAAACACGTAGACAGTTATTCTTCATTCTAAACCCTAATTTGTATTTTACAATACGATTTCACGTTGGATTTCTAAAATAACCACACATCGGGAGTTACTATGTTTCTAGCCATTGAAGACAATCGGCGTTTAGATCCACTGATTAATGTTTTAACGGAAAGTTATCAGACAAAAGGTAAGTGAATTACAAAACATGTAACAATAGCTCAATGATATAATAGTGATCAAGGAGTTAAGTGACTGTTTCATTCACTGCAAATTTGTCATCTTGAGGCATAATGCACGGATCAATTCATTTTCAATTTCACTTAT